ATGTCTGATTTACGATCACGGCTCTAATATACAGCCTGATTTGGCATTATGTGTAATACAGTAAGGACACTGTGCAGATTCTTCTTTGCATGAAAGGGTGCTATGACACTCACTTTTTTGTTAGGTTTTGATACCTATATTGACAACAACTCTGAAGCTTAGAACTTTTGATAAATGTGGTAGATACTATGAAAGAAAATGTTCAATGTTTGCTTAAGATAATTATCTCCAATATTGTTTTGAGAATTTTCATTAGATTCATACACTGAGGGGTGAGATACCTCACTTTAGGTAATTATGTTTGATATTCTTTTGAGAATTTTCATTAGATTCATACATTGAGGGAACTACTGCGGTTTATATTTATTTATGCAAACTGTATGCATATCTGCACCATTAAAAAGAAGTTTATATCTAGCATACCCGCTGATATCCTTTTGAATTAGAATTTTTGAAACTTCAGAATTTGAAAAGTACACTGCATTACAAGTATTTAGATAATATTTTCGAGAATTAGCAAGATGAATTTGTGACAGTCACATATTATCCTGATTAATATTGCTGTTACATAAGATAATTTTTTCCTTATCCTGAAAAGTATAAAATTAAAGTAATTTGTTAAAATACAATCATGCTCAAATTCCCTCTCTCTTTCTAAAACAGTGCTAAATTAACTGATTCCTTCCTATTAGCTCAAATTAACAATTCCAGTTATCACTGAACAGATAACAAATGGTTTGATTTATGAAATTAATTTATTTGAGTGAAGAACTGAATACTTTTTAGCATCTAATTGGATCATAATAAAAGGAAATTCCAATGGATTTCCAGAGAGATAGCCCTGCAAGGCTTTGCCATAATCTAATAAATCCAAATTCAAATCTAACCCATTGATACCTCGGCAGCAAAAACTTTGCAGATTTTAAAACAAATAACTTAGATACGATATTATGTGCATATTGTTATCCTAGTAAGAACTGCTTCGTAAATGGAAATAAGTGCAATTTCATTATTAAAAAGCTTGAAAATTTCACAACAATTCACCCCCCCAAATTAAATAATTCACTATTAAGTAAATTCACATTTGTGTTACACATATGATTACTTAATACGTCATATTAAAATATTCCCATCTAATGCGACTTCGTTTAGCATTTTACCTTCAGGTATGCATCCTGAGCATTAATATAACTATTAACGCATTTCATTTATCTAAACATTTCATGTTAATAATAATTTTTTTTTTTTTTTTTTTTTGCTCTACCACCACATAATTACAAATGTTAAAAATCATCTAAGACAAAGAAAAGTAGAAGTTTTTTATTTAGAACAGGGTTTCTTAAACTTTTTTCAGTCACGACCCCTTTTTATCACTAGGATCTTTTCGCGACCCCAGGACCCCATAATATTAACGAAAATTTTGTAGGAACACATAACCATTATGCAAATCTGACACGCTTGAGTGAAGCTGTCAATTTTTTCACATGTACTGTAATATACTACTGCAGTTTTAGACCATTAATTTCTAATTTTAAGATACAGAACAATGTGAAAATTTTAAATAAGTAACAGATGAAATGACAGCTTACGTGCTAACAAGTAAAACGAATGTTTATAAAAGAATGTGTCGAAACATTCTCATTTTTTGTTTGTCTGTATTGTCTAAACCACTCCATCGTCTAAACCAGTGCTCCGCAACCTTTTCTCACCTGCGACGCACAAAAAATCTTTCTGGAATTTCGTGGCACACCAAAGAGTTCCGAGTTATCAAGGAAGTGCCGAAAAAATTCAAATGCTGACACACTTACAATCACACACACAACCACACAACAGTGAAATATATAAAAACATTTAAAATAGACATTATTAAGGAAAAAAAAAATTGTCATTGTGTATTAAATACATGATAAAAAATTGCAAAATGTCAAATACATGTATTTGATTGCAGCACACCTATATCCTACTCATGGCACACCAGTGTGCCGTGGCTACACCGGTTGCGGAGCACTGGTCTAAACGTTAATCTTTATCTATTTTCAGATACATAGTGTAAACACATTTCTTAATTGTAAGATTATTATAATAAGTTTAAGAAATATCAAAACTGCTAAAATTCTGGCAATCCCCTGCTGCAAGTCCCACGACCCACAGTTTAAGAAACTCTGATTTAAAGAAAGCAGTTTTCAATCCAAATATCAGTGCATCTAAAATGAACCTGCAATTTAGAACAAGGACACATAAACAAGTGCTTTCCCAAGTTATTTATATGGTCAAAGTCACATGTATGAAAAGCACAATTAAAATCTAAATGGTTAATTAAAATTTGAATGAGAATTATAAATATTGTTTATTATTCAGGCATTTATTCCACAAGGATAGTTCAATTTTTTCCCAACCCTGAAAAACTATTCCTCACAAACTTTAACCCTTTGAGGGGCACATTGAATTTTTTTCAGCCTTTAATAAAGTTAATTGATAACTAGTACCTTTGAGCTTCCTATATGTGAAATGCATTGCAAAAACAATGTTGCACACCTTGGAAGGGAGGTGGGTAGTGGTTTAGGAGTGAAACCACTGCCCATGTAGAGCATGAAATCGGGAAACTCTTTTAGCATTGATTTTTCCAGCAAAATAATACATATAAGTATAATTAGTTATGATTTTTTGTCAAATATTAATAAAAACATAATTTCTGAACATTAATTCCATAATTTAAAAATATAGTACAAATAATACTATTTATTCTGATCTTATTTCATTAGGAAATTTCATGTGATGTTATTCTAATTGTATAAATATATTACGTAAATGCTAAAAACGTAAAACTTATAACATTTTAGCTTCAAAAGACACAGCTATCTTTAGAAAAAGAGGCCAAAAGAATAAAAAGTTCCTATTCGATCTTTTCTTTATTTTTCTTTTCTGAAAGGAAACCTTTTACCCAAAATTATAGCACACTCCCCCTCTTGCGTAACAAGTACAGTACAAAGTCCGAGATCCAGACTCGTCGGGACTTCGGCGATTCCGGATATTAGATCATCAGTTTAAATCTAGCGAGATGGCATCCAGAAATTAGTATTAGAATATAAAATTAAAAGTATGAAATCGTGATTTACGAAGTAATGAAGCATCTATGATCTAAAGGGTATCAAAATTAACAACAACAACAAAAAAAGCTTAATACTTATCTGTTTACTTTATTAAACATTTCTCTGAAAGTAAATTGTTTAAGTTACTTCATTTTTTGTGCTTATACTTTCCCTTCAATTCTGTAGACAGACGCAGCAGACAAACATAGATCCCCAGCCAAGGTGCGACTTGCGGACCCATACGGAGTTTGGATATCCCCCCTATGGTCTGGGGGACCTCGTCCTCATGGGAGCAACTCCCGCCCGGCTTTATATAAAGCATTGGGCAGAACAAATCTTAAATATAAATTGAACTTAGTTTGCCTCCGGGCACCACTCCATCGTCTAAACATACGTCATAAAGTGCACTCTGACCACTCTGTCAAGAGAACTAACTGAATGGGATCAAACACTCGGGACTCGGTCGACGATCTCCAACCTAGCTCCACCACAACCGAAAGAACAGACACGATGGTACCAGTATGGTCCCTGCCAAGCCTGAACCAACCTCAGTACAATACTCGGGTTCTAGTCCTGTGAAGTCAAATTATATACCCCCATGATTGAGACTGCCTAGATATAGATTGTAACCAGTACTTCCCAGGAGTTCTACTGAGTCAACCCGGGGGGGGGGGGGGGGGGAGGGGCAATTCTGTAGACAAGACATAATTTCTTGTTCAGTTACAAAGTTCCACTGTAGTTGCTGCATTGAGAATTCCGACTAACTTGTCAATCAAATTTTTTTTCTTCAATAACCTCTTGTCACTTTCTTCACTATCGGTAATGGTATTTTCTGGATCTAGAACATTGCTACAGATTTCACGTCCGTTAAAAGACTGATAATTCGAACACTGCCGTCACAATGAAAAACATCTGTTATATCATCTTTATTTATTACCGCATTCTTTACCTTATCCACATTTCTTTACAAAATCTATTAATTGGAAAAGCAGATATGCAGCCAAATTACTGATCACACAAATTTATGCTAAAATGATTGTTTCTTTGATATTTTATTCAGTACCGAAGTGAAATTAAGAATCAGGATTCTCCACATGCTTTTTAACCAGGAAAAAAATCAAATGTGCATGCGTAATGCATTAAAAAAAGAATTTCCTAAGAAAATTTTGCTGACAGCTTTCAGGTCCGGATTTTAGATCATTTCGGATATTGGACGTCCGGATCTCAGACTTTGTACTGTAGATTACATTGCACCCAAGAAATCAGAAAATATGTAGGAAAGTTTTAGCTCTAAGATCATATTACAGATCACATTACACCCTAGCAATCAGAAAATACATAGGAATTTTATTAAATCACATTACACTTTAGCAAACAGAAAACAAGTAAATTGTTTAAAAACAGAAAATAACAAAAATAAAATAAAAATCAGAAAATAAGTTTTAGCTCTAAGGGGGCCTTTTAGCTGAGGGTGGTGGTTTTGGTAAAAAATCACATGTTGAATTATAAAAAAAATGCAAAATTTATTACTGATTTGATTAGTGTTTTTACAAATAAAAGAGTATGTAAATGAAAAATTCATATGTTATACTTGGGTAACCAGATGCATTTTTTATGAAATTAGTAAGAAAAACTGAAATTCTTTATCTTTGATTGTTCAAAGTTTAACCACATATAAATCGACACAGAAAAAAAGGCTCTGTTTTGTGCTGCCATCTGTTGGTTCTTTTGAGTATTAAAAGCATATTAATACAGTAAAACTACTGCACAACTGGGAGGGGGGATTCTTGTTTCAAAGGTTGACTCTCCGCCCCAAAGGGTTAACATAGCATTCAGATAAGGTATGTCAGGCAATTCTAGAATGAGAATTTAAAGTGCTCATTTCAAATTGGAAATAATTTAAAATCTTACCACCATATCTTTCTGCACGAAAATCTCGATCTCCAGATCTTGATCTACTTCTAGGCAAATCAACGAAGGTACGTGTGATCTGCGACATTTCATATTCACGTTTCCTTTCATCCTAAAATATGACAGAATATTACTTCATGTATAGGACAGTCATAACAAGTAAAGGAAAATCAAACAGTTTTAAAAAATGACTATAAGATACAAAAATTAAATTCCCACAACGTTTGAAATAAAATAATCCAAGAACTATTGAAAAAGGATTTTTTTCCTTAATACAATTACACAAATAAACATTGATACATATCTTTAAGAACAAAAAGGTTCTTAACTCTCAGACTGTGCAATCTGCATGTACTAGGGAGCTAAAATATGTAGCACACTTTTGTAAACAAGATTCTTAAGCAGATTTTGTGCATAAGAACAGGCTTTCATAAAAAACAATTTTAGAAGTAATCATATAAAAACAATGAAAATAAATCTTGATTAAACTGCAATTTACTTTATATAATACCAATGTAAAATATACATACTAATGAAAATATTCAATATTTATACAATCTACAAATTAATTAATTAAGTTTAATGTGGTAATATTATAAATTAAGTTTAATGTGGTAATATTATAAAAGTATGTTTAGTGTGGTAAATTTCAAAAGAAGGTTCCAGGCAAAGTCCTACTTTGAAACAAATTTGTGTTTCTTTGCTAATTTTTTTGCCAGTTGCCTTCGGAAATTTCTTTGATATTTTTACGTTGCCCTCGAAAATTACGGGATAATGAGCAAAAGGGTTAAAAGCAGAAATTAATCAAATTTTGAAAAGCAATAAAAAAAACAAAAAGTAATTAACATAATATAAAGTACTTAACAGGAATGAGGGACAAAGCTGAAATCATTATAATCCAGTTTTTACAAAACAGGATAAATTTACAAAATTTCTTTGCATGTAAACAATACTGTTTTTTATGAAAACTTATTTATGATATAAATATATATGAAACCTAAAGGCTATGTCCTTGAAGAAAATCATTTTCTTTTCATTGAGAAAGCACCTATTGTATATATTGTACAAAAATTATCTTTATTTGCTAATGCTCTAATCCTTTTCTATCACCAAGCCTTTTTCTCTTTGAAAGGGGAAGATGTATGAGATATATAAAAGAAAACTACTAACTTTAATTTAGCAATACTCCTTTTAATTTGGCTACCTCTTTCCTGGAATCTAAAGTGCACCATCCGAAAATTAATTTATATGTGTCATTATATTAGAGTAGCATGGCACTTTTCCTGCCTTCCTTTCACTGTGCTAATGTGTGTTGCTTACTTCTCGAGATGTGATCAGTTACATACAACTGTGGAATGGACATCACACCCATATTGATGGGTAAACACAAATATTTGTCCTAGGAATTAGTTATGAAGAAATAAAAGTATATGTTAAAATCAACAGCCACATCTACCTTCCTTTTCCATTATGCACTTATGAATCTGCACAACTCTATCAGCCCCGTTCACATGGGACAAGCATTAACTGCCTCGCCAAATTGGACGTAGAACTTGGTTGAATGTTCCTTACCTCTCGGGAGCAAGGCAAATGGGGAAGATTTCCCGTACTATACTGCGCGGTTCACTTAATTTTAGTTACTGCTCGCTGAACTGTCAGCGAAACAATCGCGCTGATAGATGTCTGGGAATGTGATAGCATCCCCCCAAAAATTAGTAGAACTGTACAAGATACGAAAATTATAGAGAAATACACAGACAAGGTTATCTGATGCTAGGTTTTCCAGAAATATCGTTCAAATTAAAACTAAAGTTAAGACAAGTGCATATCGACTTCAATGCGAAGAGGGACTCAGTACCTTTTGAATGGTTTTTTTTTTTTTTTTTAAATTTAAGAATGCATTTTCATCTACTTTTTATGAATATTATTAAATGGTTTTGTGAGACACAAATAATTTTAAGCTGAAAAAAAAATTTATTGCTAATATTTTTTTTAATTTAAATATTTGAAAGAAAAATTTTACAATTAAATGTTTTCTTCTACAATTTTTAATGTCTCCCCCCCCAGTATTTTTTATGTATTGTATTTATTAGAGTGTTCTTAATAACTTCAAGGAATGATTTTGCAATTAATGAATTAGTTTCTGAGGGAAAAAAATACACTTTATCTAAAATCTTTAAAACAAAAATATGATCTCAGTCACATTTCATTTCAAATGATTTTCCCTTTCAGTATTTTGCAAAACCCATCGTTGTTTTTCTATAAAGTATATAATTTTATATAAGCAGTAAAATAAAAATATAAAAAATTTAGTCCATACCTGTATAGGTTTTAGGACTTTAAGTAAAAGGATTTATTGAAAAAAGTGCAAAAGGTTTCTCAGTTTGCATTTGCAGTTTAAAGAGTACAAACTGTCTAAACAGACATTTTATCATTTCAAATCTTTAAAATTTTATTACTGAATTTCAATACACACATATTATATAAATCAAACCTAGTGCTATTTATTCAATTGGTAAATATAAATATAAATTAAAAACCTTTTTTTAAAACCTTATGTGGCCAAAAAAATTCCACATCCAACATGTGTTAGCCTATCTGCTGCAAGTCAACATCAGGCAAGGCCTATAATCAATTCCATGCACGACTGCAGCACGAAATTCATTACGGTACAAAGTAGGGCAATATACTATATGAAAATAACTAGATTACATACCACAGATCCCTTTATAATGGTCCTGCTGCTACTGTTTTTGAGATCGTGTATAGTATTTACTTCTACCATTCCATAAATAAATTTAATTTGAATCTGATGGTTGTTCTTTCCCCATCTTTTTTCTTTGTGAAATAATTTCACTGTTAAATATATATAGATTGTTGCAGATAATTTGATATTAGACGAGTGCTTGATAAGAGAAGACACCAATTATTTTGCAGTTGTGTGCAGATTGAAGTTAGAAGATTGCTGAAATATCGATTATGTAGTACATGATGTCGGGAAAGAATTACAAAATCACTTAATAATCCAAACATATCTTTATTACTTGTTGAATACTTTATAGATTGAGTCAATCTGCACCCTACAATTTTGATAATTACGCATGACATTTTTAACAATGAACAGAAACAGCCAATCAAGAGCTAGCAAGCATAAAAGAGGATGCATAGTTAGTTGCAATATTATTTTAAAAGCTTGGGAGTTCTTTGTTTTAGTTCTGGATAGCAACTGGGTAAAAGGTTACAGCAATGCGGATACTGCAGAGAAATAACAGATGCACTGAAAGATTGTGCTTTAATTGAAAATTAGTATTTTAAAGGTCTATTGCCAATCTGTTTCAATGAAGTTTAAACTTCTTAATAAATTTCTATCATACATACATATATCTATACATATCTACATATATATATATTATATATATATATATGCACCACATTATAAATGAATTAATAGTATATGAATAGCACAACTTCTTAAAAAAACCGTTTGTAAAAGTTTAAAAAATTAAAAAAATTAAGAAACAAATATATCTTGTATTATGTGATTATTACATTTTAAAACATACTAAATACATATGCATAAATTCAGTATAAAATTTAATCATTTCACATTAATTTTTTTTTTTTTTTTTTTGGTATTAAATTCTTACTCGATCAAGGCTTGTACTTTCTTTTCTCAGTTCAGGATTTTGCCAACGATCACTAAGTGTTCGTCCACTGCTGGAACTAAACAAGGCATGTTGAGTATCAAATCTGTGACGAGTAATTTCATAGTTTTCAACTTCTCTAAGATCCATTGAATGTGCAGAATTGTATAAGCCTCCTCCAGACATAAGTTTTCTTTCATAATGCGCATCTTCCCTTAAATCTCTAGGAGCTTGTTTGATTTCTTCCCTATCAAAAATCGGGCGATGCCCTTCATTAGCTCTGCGAACTAATTTTACATCAGATGGATTCATAATGCGACGAAGAGTTGGGGACTGATCACGTAGATTACGCCGAATATCAATGGTTATTTTTTCCAAGTCCTCACGGGAATACCTGACTTGAGGTTCAGACCGGTTTGTTTCCACAACTGAACTGAAGCGTTCATGTAAAGTTGGAGCAAAGCGTTTGTCTTCACTTGCATATCTATCAGGACTGCCACTCCTATATCTTTCATCACGTCCGTTATCATAAGGAACTTTTACAGCATGAGTTTCACTTGAACGACCACCTGGTCCAACTGGTGGACTATAAAGGAATAAAAAGTATTTATATAAAAAAGAATAATGATTAACAAACACTTAAAAAATCAAATGCAGAATAAAGCAATTTCTTTTGACCTTCCAAACTTTCATAATCAGATGATACGAAATTTCAGTAAATTCACAAACAAAAGATTCAGTTCAAAATCTCAATGAAAGAAATGTTCACAAATATTATTAATTTATTTTCAACTCAATTCAAATAATAAGCTATCATAAAAATTATTATTTACACCTTCCACTACTATTTATTACTTATTTTCTTGTTTAACACGTTGGCTGCCGCGCGCATTTTACGTGCTTTGCCCATGGCTCCATTATGATTTTTTTTATTATGCAATGTATATTAGGTTGAAATATTATCTACGGAAGATAAGATGAGTTGTATAAATGTGCTTAATGTATTTTTCATGGTGGGAGTCACCGGTGACCCCCGAGGCGCCGTACATAATTTTTGCAAATTTTAATTCTTCAAACCATTATTTATTTAAAAATTCAGTATTGATATTTACTCTATGTATTTTTACTATCGGTAGCATCGCCGGTCACCCCCTACGATGCTGTAGCCAAGTCGAATGCGGCCACCTGTGACCCCCCACGGCAGTCACCTTGTTAAAATACAATTGCTCATCTATTTTTATCAGCAACAAATCAGCATGCTATGCATTTACTATGCATCATAAAAGGTATAATCTTAATCTGCTCTCTAAAATATTAATGTAATCAAATATTAAATTAGTTTAATCCTTTGACTACTAATTAAAAAAATTCTTTAACCCGTTTTCTATCCAGGAAAACAAAGTATGCTTTAAATAGGGTAAATTTAGCATTTGGAATTTTTTTGACAAATGCTTTTCAAGCCAAAGGCTAAGATACATGTCGACCATTAACTATATGTCCATGTAGTTAATGGTAATGTTTGGTTTAATACTAAACTAAATCTAGAACGATATATAAAAGAAATAAAACAAAAAAGAAACAGTTTTTCACAGACGATTCAGTATATCTCATTCAATTAATTCAGTTCTCACTTCCTGGCAAGGCAAAAATACATAAAAACTCAGAATATCTAGATTAAAAATTATGAAGTAAATCTTAAACACTTATTTCCTCAAATAAGTTCCACAATGGATTAAGCATGATTTAATTTGCAATAATAAAAGAAGGCGTTATCTTTGCTAGTTTCTCTAGATTGGCAACAAATTTGTTATTCTGCCCAGTTTCAAATGTAAATAAACATGGCCGCCATAACTAGGCTTAACCGCACTCAAACAACTTTTAAATTGTTGATAATTCTTAAAATATTGCATTCATATTTACTAAAAGCATAAAAACCTTAACCGGAAGATAAGAACAACATAATTTAATCATTTTTAAAGCAAAAAATGCCCAATTTACAAACATATAAGAATAAAGAAACTGAGATCAACGACAAAACTAAAGATCTCTGAATTAAAAATTTTCTATAGAAACTGATCTTAAAATCGCCAAAATGTTGACAAGTTGTCAAACTTAGGACCATTTAATAAAAGAATTCACAACCCCAAAAGCGAGAAGTTGTTGAGCTCTTTATTAGAAAAAATGAATTTTGAAATGCTTATGTTTCACTTCTTCCTTAGAAACTTGAGTATCCCATCATTTATATTAGAAATAGAAACAAATTATAACCCATGAACCCATTCAAAAGGTAACCATATACGTCAGTGAATTGCCAAAAATATTCCTTCAAAATGCTAATTCACACTCAAAATGGTAGTAGTAAAAACAGAGAGAAATTTCAGATGATTAAAATTAAGGACCTTCTACTGATTTTGGTCAAAATTAAGGACTTTTAAGGACCAAAAATCGATTAAAAAAAATTTGAGGACTTTTAAGGACTCTTAAGGATTGTACGAACCCTGTATATCACTGTAATAGGTATTGTAATTGAATAACTGTAATTCATCACTATATTAGTTGTTACCATTATCTGGGCCTCATATGCCTCCCAGTTCTTTCGAGAAGCAGAAAGGACTGCAGATTTCTGGCCGGGTGGTAAACTAGTATAAAGATTGGAGACAGCATTAGTTTCTTAGTTGTTAGTTCAGAGCGTCTTGAGATATCTGTGAGAGTTTCATCTTTCAGATGCACTTTGCATTCTGTTGCATTTAATGTTTCTAGTAGTCTGAAATGTAAGTACTGATTGTGCTGTGTGATACTATGAAGAGCTGTACGAGAACAGAATAATATGAAGAGCAGAATAAACATGGTTGAAAACAAAATTAGAGAAATTCAAGAAAGAGTATCTGCTGTTGAAAAGCATATCAAAAGAAAGAGTTTTTGCCGTTCAACAACAATTAATTACACTTACAAAATTAATGACAGGGTTCTTGCTGCTGTTGTTAAGGAGGTTGAAAGTTTAAAGAAATCCATAACAACAGCTGGTCACAGTTCTAATGCCTTAAATTCGAACATATGTTGTCATGGCCCTCTCTTAAGCTATCCATATATGATGGAAAAACCTCCTATAAAGTGTACAAGGCACAGTTTTTTATAGTGGCGTATGAAAGTGGATGAGATTTTAAAGTTAAAAATCTGGCTTCACAGTTTCACTGAGAGCAGACGCAGCAGATTTCCTTCAAACCTTTCCTGAAAATCAGAGGTCAGGCTTCGAAGCTCTGACCAGCATGTTGGAAATGCGCTTTGGCAAAAAGTGTTGGATTTTAAGAGCACTTTGGCGTATGCCATGAAATTTGAGGCAGCCCTTCAAGCAACTCATAAAGATTATTACCCAACCAGAGCTGCTCAAGTTCACGTGACTGCTCATCTAGACGTTTTAATCATACAACCTTGAGACAGAATAGGAGGGACAAGAAACCACTCCAAAGTGTTGAAACTGTGGTGCTGAAGGCCATGTACAAAGGAAATGCAGAACACACCAAGAATGGAAAATAAAACCACTTCCCAGAAAAGAGAAAGCAAAAAAATTAGTAGTCATTTCGTGGGACAGAGGTTACCAAATAATGAGGAGCTCCATTTTAAAGTGCTTCAAATTTCTTCAGTGACAGCTACAGTAATGGCATCTTCATAGGACACATCAATGCAGTTCTTTGCAATATGACTATCGATACAGCAGCTAATGTTACCATCATCCAAACAGATTTGGTTCAACAACTGGAAGGTAAACTCATCTCACTCTGTGCTACCCTTCAAATTGTGTCCGGGAATAAAATCAACATCAATGGAAAATTAAATGTTAACATTACGTCTGGAAGTGCCACCTACCATCACACAGCATATGTAGCAAATATTACAGGCCCTTGCATACTCGGATTAGACTTAAGGATATAGAATTTTTCCTTGGACATGATGAAGGAGTTCAATCTGTCCACCAAATAATAGCTCAAAATGATATTAGAGTACCAGCAGGAACATAATTTTTACTTCCTGGATCTATAAGCTTAAAAGAGAAATTTCCATCAAAGCATCATGGAATATCCAAAGAACAGCCTGAATGGAGTACTAGTAGCCTCAGCCCTTGCCAACCTAACGAGGACCATTATCCCAGTCAGGGTTGCCACTCAAACAGGAGAATGAATTTCCCTGACTTTTCCTGGTTTTCTAGGTGTGTTTTAAGAAAATTCCAGTCTATTCACGTAATGCACGTTGGCTGCACTAAGAGGTAAATTAATTATGCTATTACTTGAAAACACACAAATTTGCCAATTACATATGACTTATAATATATATATAATTCCCAAAGCATTAGTAATATAACTATTATAGGAGTTGTTTTCTTCACTGAAGATTGAGATTAGAATCTGCCCAATCTGGATTTAAAAAAAAAATGCCTTTTTTTGCAGACATTTTTGCAGCTAAACAAAAGAAATAAATCTATTTAATGATATTTTAAAATAAATTCAAGTATTTTATAATTATTTAGCAGCATACATAAGCAAAAAGTATGTGCATTATATTTCGTGATGGTATGTCATCATACTGCTAGAATTAATTTCAGGATTATGCCAGAGAAAATTTTCTGAAATTTGAAAGTATTATTTACTAATACAGTCAAAAGTCGTTAATTCGGACATCCATAATCCAGAATGATCTATAATCTGGACCTCGAAGCTACAAACTTTCTGTGCATGCACGTAAAACCTTTACGGCTGCGGTATTCGTGCACACGCGTTTACGCGTCGCGTGTAATACGTTTACGAATGCGCGTTTAATGTATAACGGACGGTATAAGCTAAGCTAAAATGATCTAATTCAGTTAATGTTGCAGATTGCGTTGTTCCTTAATCTTTGAATTGGATCCGGCTTATTATTTTTTGCAGACTGTTAGAGCAATTTTATAAAAGTAAGCTTGAGCTTTCGATTATGTCAAATACAATTTCTGATATATATTTACTAATATGTAAAGGATCTACTGTTGGGACTACTACTATGCTCTGTTGGGGAAGGGAAACGACGCGGCGTGCAATGAATTGGAAGTTGATCTGTCAGCACTATCTTCAAGGCAGATGTTTTATTTTATTTGGCTTATAATTTCTTACAAAATGCAGTATTTCATCTCGATGTACTCCGTCTTTGATATGATTTAAATCAAATTCCTCATCATTATAATTCGCTTCCGATAGCGAAGAAAGTGACAGAGGTTATTGAAAACGAAAAAATTTCGATTGACAAGTTAGTCTGTATGCTCCGACACAGCAATTCCATAGGACTTGAACACAGCGGAACTTTGTAACTGAAACAAGAGAAATTATGTCTGTTTATAGAATTAAAAGAGAAATGTATTATCACATAAAAAACAAAGCAACTTAAACAACTTACACTGAACGAAATGTTTAATAAAAGGTAAACAAATAAATATTAAGCTTTTTTTTTTTTGTAAATTTTGATACCCTTTAGATCATAATATGTTCTTTATTTCATAAATTACGGTTTCATATTTTTAATTTTATAATTTTCTGCATGCCATCTTACTAGATTTAAACTGATGATCTATAATCCGGAAAAATCGATAATCCGGAATCGCGGAAGTCCTGAGGAGTCCGGATTAACGACTTTTGACTGTAATACATAAATTTAGAGGGAAGAAGCAGAATTAAATGATACGAATAACATAAAAATAAAGATAATTACTTAAAAATTGGATTAGAATAATCAACGATATTTTAGCGAATATAGTTATATTAAATGATTAGCCTAGATGACTGATTACTAATTTTTTATTTTACTGCAAAATGACAAATAAGGCATTTATTAAAAAGAAGAAAAAAAAAAAAAGGTTTAAAACATTTTGGGGTAAAATTCTAGTATACGGTAAGGCCTTGGCACGATTTTGAAAACTGTAGCCAACACCAAAATGACCCGTTTCACTGCTTATCATAATGTCGCCAATTCCTGTGTGTACCGTACATGGAGGTTAGAACAGAACACATGGAGGTTATTCTAACCAAAGAACGTCTATGTAAAGAAGGAAAGGTTCCATAGATGTAATGCTATTACGCCGCTAGAAAGCGGAGGGAAAATTCGCCCCCGCTCCGCGATGTGTACAGGAAATTGAGGAACTGTTGTTAAGAAGAAACATTCTTTGGCAAAACGTTTCTTTTTTTGATTTTTTGCAATAATTTAAACACGGATTTTCGTAGAGTGGCCTCCCCATTTAAATAACTCTTAAATTTTTGCGAAAAATTTTTTTCCTTTAAGTAAGAATTTAACATTTCATTTCGATTTATAAGTGCCTTCGACACGACATGGTTTGAGTTTGCGCATTTTACCTTCATTGAAGAGACCCCTAGAGTTCCTTCTTAACAATACATATTCTTTGATTCTAACTTCCATGGTACCGTATATTAGTATTAAACCGATTTTGTTTTATACGACAATAAGTATTTTGCTTAGTTCAACATGCACTGCACATGCGATTCTCGAGGTTACCTGAAATTTGCTTTGCCTTTCTAAAAGACAATCTAATTGGAGCTGTAAAAATTGGCTCTATTCCAGCTGCCCGAACGACGCTCACCCAATACACAATTCGCCAATAAAAGTGATCGTTTCCAACGTCGGTGCAAAACTCGCTTTTTGGGGGGGGGGATCGCCATATGAAATTCCCTGAACTTCTTGGTCAATTTTCAAATTCCCTGACTTTTTCCAGTTTTCCAGGTAGCGTGCAACCTGCCGTTTAGGTTTTCAGACCTACCTCCAAGACAGCAACATGAAATTTTTGGCAGAAAACAAATAGCGTTGAAAAAAAAAAAATGCTGGAGAATGTGTCACTCAATAATTTCAAGGTGTTTTCACTTATTCATCTCCGACGTGCATTGAACAGTTACAAGGGATTATCCACCAATCAAGCAACATCCAAGATGTCTACTAAATTCTAAAGGAGGAGGTAAGAAAACTTCTAAAGGACATGCAAGAAAGTGATGTTATTCAGCCTTTTGCAAGTTTTTGGGACACTCCTACGGTCCTGGTCTAAAAGAAAGACAGTTCAACTAAATTTTGCATCCACTATCACAGGTTGAATGACGTCATGAAGAAAGACAGCTATCCTCTCCCTAGAACTGACCACATCCTGCACACTCTTTCTGGAAGCAAGTGGTTTTAGATAAGTCATTTAAAGATTTGACATTGGCAAGTAGAGATAGATCATGATGACCAAAAAAAGAAGGCTTTTACTACCAGATAAGGACTTCGTCAAATCAAAGTGATGCTGTTTGGATTATGTAATGTGACGGTAACATTCAAAAGTCTTATGAAGATCGTGTTCAGAGGTCTTTCCTGTGAAGCCTGTCTTAATATACCTGAATGACACCATCATGATCAGGAAAACTTTTGAAAATGTTCAAAAGGTTCTTCAAAAACTGAAAGAAGCCAATCTTAAATTCTGCCAAATGTAAACTATTCAGACAAGAAGTGACTTACCTTGGCCATGTCATCTCTGCCCAAGGTGTGAATACAGATCCAGAAAAAGTGTCAGCAGTTAAAGACTGGAAATGTGCCAAAAATGCCTATCAGCTAAGAAGTTTCATGGAGCTTTGGATATAGGAGTTTCTGAAGGACTACTGCAGAAGATTTCTTCTGGGAGATGGACTTTCCTGTCAGCAACTGAAGAGAGGAGATGCCCCTAAAATGTACATCTGCTGAAACATTTCTTGGGGTTTTGCAACTACTATTATAAGGCAATTTGTGTAGGACTTTTCTTTCATCGCAAGAATCCTTAACAAACTGACAAAGAGCAAACAAAAGTTTTTTTGGACAAAAGAATGTGAGGTTTATCAAATTGAAGGTTTTAAAATTTGCGAAAATCCTGACGTATCCTCAGCTCAACAAACTATTTACTCTTGATATGGATGCTTGCAATAAGAGTGTCGTTGCTGTTTTTCCACAGAGATAAACGGTCAAGAACGTGTCTTGGCATATTGGAGCAAGAGTCTAAATCAGAGACGTCACCAGAAAAAAGTTGTTCATCATAGTTAAAAGCGTAGAATATGTCCGCCTTTACCTCTATGGTAGAAAACTCCTGCTCTACACAGATCATGCATCCTGGGCCTGGCTACTAAATTTCAAGAATTCCAAAAACCAAATAAGATTAAGAAGGCCAAATAAGCCTGCTGGATATAGTGGCTCCAGGAATAATTTCATTATCAATCATCGGTGGGATTACCAGATGGCAACACCGAAGCCCTGTCCAGAAAACTGTCAATGTTGTTCGAGGCTTGAAGTGAAATACATGTTTAATCCAGTCATATGTCAAGTTACGAATTCAATATCACCTCACCCAGACTCATGGCATGATGAACTATGGCGTTTCGGCTTCCCTGTTCCGAGTTACTCAATCTCACTACAGGTCGACTCTACCTTTGGGCACGTCGTGGAGGTTCAACCTCCACTATTACCCTCCAGTAGAGCCGCGCACCACCGGATATGACCCCAGGCAGCCCGGTCGTCTATGCTCCTGCCAGTCGCTCGGGCGAGCCCGTCGCAGCGGGACATTACCCAGCAACCCCGGGGGAAACCCCATGGGTTACTAGCACCACGCCGCGCTAGGATGTGCCAGACTCCGAGGCCGGCCAATAAGTGACCTTTCCCAGAGCCTTCAGAACCACCAAGTTCATAAATTTTATACCCCCGTGGCCGAGACTGCCTAGGTACAGATCCTAGCCAGTAGCTTCGCAGAGTTCTCTACGTCGACCCCCGGGGGGATGGCATGATGAAGAAGGTCAGGAAAGACAAGTCAGGAAGAAGATGACATTAAATCCATTATTGACTTAATGAAGTCTTGAAATGGGAAACCTATCTGGCAGACACTTTGATCTATTTTCCTATGACAAAACATTGGGCTCATTGGGACTCACTCAATATGCAAAACGACGTCTTGTAACATAATTTTGAATCGTATGACGGAAAGGCATTTTGATGGAAGGTGATACGTTCAAGATTTTGGATGTCCTTAAAGAATTATGCACCAGTCCAATCCAACAGAAAGACACATCAGAATAATGAAGATGTTGCATAGAGTTCAAAAGTGTTTTCACTGAAATAATACAAGGAAAGATGTGCAAAAGTGGTGCCAATCTTATGATGCCTGTGCAAGTCAGAATGGACAGAAGAAATGCAGCCAAGGGAAGCTACAACGTTACAGTGTAGGAGCACCTTTTGAACATACTGCATTTAACATCCTGTAACCTCTGCCATGAACTGCTAATGGCAACAAATTTATCCTCGTTGTCATTGCTTACTTCACCAAGTGGCATGAAGCGTATCCTTCTGATCATTAGGCTGTTACGGTAGCAGAAGTAATGATACATATTTAGATTTCCAGGTTTGGAATGCCTCTTCAGTTACATTCCGATGAAGAAAGAAATTTTACCTCGGCTGTAAATGAAGAATTCTGTAAGCTACTCAGCATCAACAAAACCCAAACGACACCTCTACATGACCAGTCAGACGGCATGGTAAACAGGTTTAATTGAACCATGCTTAACTCTCGCTGATCGCTCCCAGAAGTCAACAGGATAGGGACAAGAAGTTACCACTGCTCTTACTGGCCTATTACAGTGCTGCCCTCAAGAGCACCGGTTATTCCCTATCCCAGATGCTCTTTTGTTGTGACCTTCCTCTGCCCTGTGATCTCTTATTTGATCACCCTCCTGATGCACCTACATTGTCCGAAGAGTACATTCAAGATCTCCAGGCACGGTTTGAATTAATGCACAGTTTTGCACAAGAGCAAGTTAACTTAGCAACAGAGAAAATGAAGATTCCATACGACACAAGAGCTATGGGATATTGATGCAATGAAGGTGAGAAGATCTGATTATGGAATCCAATTTGACAGAAAGGACTTTCTCCTAAACTACATTCACTTTGTTACAGTTCTAAATAGGCTGATGGATCCATAAACTATCAAATTTTAAGCCTAAAGTTGTTTATTAAGAAAGGCTAGCCCCTTATTACGGCTATAGTACATAGTCTCAATGGTATATATTATGTAAATAGAATACTATGACTATGGTCATATTTGTATATAAATTTGTAAATTTATGCATTTGTTTATTGGTTTAACATTTGATTTGTTTTAAGTCATTTACTGCAATTACTGTTTAAGTAGTGCACTGATTTGCTTTAGTTTAGTTGCCCAGGGATTACACTGCCTGGAACACGAAATCCTTGGGGGTAATGTTAAGAATTTTGCCCATATTTAGATAATTTGAGTGAAATTATTCGTAAAATTGTAGTTTTTACTGTATAATGTGCTTGAAAAATCCAAAGAAATGATGCTCTGCAAGAAAAATAAGAATACAGGGGCAAGTCTGTTTAACACTGAAAAAGTGGCTATCTCGCTACATTGGCAAGATACTGCCAAGCCTGGCTATGGTTTTTGGCAACTAATTTTTGTCACCAAATCTGGTGACAAACTGCCAAAAAGACCAAATTTGGCAACCATTTAATGACACTTTGGTCTGGTAGCTGTTTAATTCTAATGGGTACCGTAAATAAATAACTAGTCGTAACCCAGTAGTTCCCAAACTCCTAGCGCTATGGTGAGCACATATGCATATTGTGCAGCAAAGATGAACATTGCCATTCACTGCAGCGAAGATTTCTGCCACAGGCTCTTTCAGGGCTCATACACCTTTCTGCACATGAAAACGAAGTACTTTTAAGGACCATTAATCAAAAAATTAAGGACCTATCAGCAAATGGGAACTGAATAAATTCAATTGAAAATATTATCTATGCCTGAATTTCACTTTTGTAATACCATCCTAAAAATAAAATAGAATCCAGTAAGTAGTATGATTATACTAACATGAATTAATTATAATTTAATAAGTTTGAGAAAAATAAACTTACGCATTTATCAAGTAGCATTAAATATTTACACTTATAATATTGGTCATATTTAAAAGAAGATAAATGACATTTATGGTTTACAACGTTAGCTTTATGTTTTTTATCCATACTTGTCACTAGAGGTTTAGAAAATAAGCAGATAGATTTTATGTCAAATGGCATACGTTAAAATGAGAAATAAGATCATAATCAGCATGATTCATAACAAAAGACTGAATGCTGTCACCACTGCTGTTTGTCTAGAGAGAGAGACCTGCTGATTAGAACAAACCTGAAAGGCCTGATGTAGTCATGGTTGGCAAGTGTTGAAAGTTAGTCAGGCTCTGTTTGATGCAGTTAGTGCCATAGCTTCATGTTCAGTTCCAGGGTTTGTAACCCAGTTAATATACTTTAAGGTTCCAATAAGGCATTAAAGCAATAAAGGTGATAAGTTGTTTTGTATTATTAAGTCTCAGTAGATGCAAAGAATAGGTTTTACTTGAATTTTTACATTTTATCTTGTGACCACAGCAAGTATTAATGAAAGGCAATAACTTGCTTTAATGTGTACAGATAATCTTTAAGGGTAAGCAGTTAGTTATAAATAATTAAATTAGATAGTTTGATAACTATAGTCATTATGGATTTACATGACTACTATTAGACTTTTCGTAACAATATTTGTTAAAAAAGCCCTATTAAAATCAAAATCTAATAAAATTTCACAGTTTAAAATACATGTAATTTATGACACAGATTTTAACGATATTACAATAATACACATAAAAGGTACAAAACATTTTTTTTTTTAGACAACACTCAACAAAATATTAACTGTTTTTAATTTGAAGCC